ACACGATATGATTCACTATTCTAGGATGTACAATACTGAACATTTAATATGCACCTATACATGTATTACTATGCATTAATCACCTTGGCTTCCTGACCCATCTCTCTTATTTCAATTCCTATTCTAATCATAAATTTATGTGATGTGATTAAGGAGGAGAAAATTTCACAAAGGGTGATTGCTGTACTCCGATGATATTATCACTACAAGACACTCTTGATATTCTCCCAGTCGTATATACTGCATTGTCTTATGTCAGACTTGCTTGTCTTTATTATCAGTGTTGTCATGTTCCATGAGATGGTTTGTATTTGTGTGTGTGTAGTGAGTATGGTATGCATAAGAAAATCAATGCCCGTTACTCTGCCGATGCATTTTTTGTTCCCCAATTGCTATGTACTAGCATCCAGATCCAATTACGCTTGCCCGGCTTTCTAAAGCACCACAGCCGTCACGTAGCATCCGTTCAAATTCATATAAACAATGTATTTTTTACACATTGTACATGTCATATGGGACTACATGATGCTTTGACTTAGATGCTTTAACCATCGCTGTCCACATCTAAATCTCCCCACATACTTTTCAGAATGGACAGTGAGAAATGAATTGTAAATAGTCATCAAAATATATTATTGTTAATTGATGTTCTTTTTGTTCAGCAAATGTGAATCTTCAAACATTGCCAATGAGTGAAATGAAATTGGAGTCGTAAAAAGACTGGTACATGTACTGTACAGCTCAACTTTCATTGCTTTTATAGGTCTTAGACGTATATGACTGATGCGATCTCATTGAATCACAGGACTTGTTTTTACCCCTTAACCTTTTTCAGCATTTTTTCTTATATTCCTCAATATCTTTGGAAATTAACTCAAATTTTGGAGCCAACAGACAAAGAAGGGAATCCTATTTGAGTGGTATAAACAAGTCTTCTTGTGCTCTCGCTTTCATTGGAATCTCTGTGGTCATTATTGTTCAAGGTCTATCAGGTCGCCTTTGTGTAATGACTATAGAAATAAATGTCATCGGTGCTGAAATATTACCATAACAGTATATGCCGTATTTTCTTATCGTTGATGGTGCCTTGTACTCTAGAGGGCGACATTCAGCATAATTGTAACACTACATGTTAATTGTGTCAAAATACAGTTAGCTGGGTAAGTAGCTTTAGTGAGAATAATTTTGTTTCAAATTGGCACCTGTCAAAAAAACATTTGCTGAATTTTATGAGAATGTATTTACGGTAGTATCCTGGACCAGTGAAATTTATTTATTATCGTAATAATTTGTTAATGCTATAGTAAAAGATGATAATGGGATTTGTCCACTTCAGACTCTTTGTGAAAGATTTAAACTATAAAGTGTGTTCTATATAGATGTTCATTTCATAGCAAGCATTGTATATTTGTATCACAAGCCGGGGATGTTAAGAACAACTTCAAAACAACCTGCAATACTACTGAGTGCATGGCATAACAATGTGGTCAGAGGCTGTGATGTAAATTGTACCAAAGTTGCCATTCTCTGGCTAATCTTTCGAACATTGAATTTCTTTCCTTATTAATGGAGCTACTAAGATAATAACCAACACAAGACAGCGTTTTAATCTGTTAATATGAATAGTTACGGAATTGGTCATGTTGTATAGCCTGCCTGTGCCACTGCATATGTATTGGTCAATGCACAACTGAATACAAATGCAAGATTATATATTTTTAAGTGCAAGATTTCAAAACTTAGTTGTGGTAATATATGTTGTTACTTGTTGGAAAAATAATTTTATGCAATTGTGAGATGTAAATAGTTTATTTATTCATCCATCGTTTTTATTAGTTCAGGGATTGGTATTTGTATTCCATATCTGCTTTAACTGTTCATTGGGTACACATGTCTACTAGGGTAAGATGTATTGGCCTTGTATGAGTAGGCTGATCACATGAGTTCAGTCTTTCTATGATTTCTTCTTGTGATTGATATACCTGTACTGTGCTTCGTAAACTTGTTTTGTACTTCTATTCAGCAGCATTGACAATTTGATTAAATTGTGAACTTTTCTGAATTTTTTCACCTTTCGCAATTATTTGTTTATGTCTCATTACCGCAAAATCCAACATAAAAATGAGAGTTCAGAAAAAAACAAATGCTTGTATATACAGTACTTGTTATTTTAATTAGATTGCGGCATCAATGTCACCAATGGGAAGTCTGGAATTCATTATAAAGTATAAAGTCATACTTAATATAAAGTTCAAACTGACCAATCTTGCAAAAAATTAGCTAGTATAACTTTTCATAGCGGTTTGTGTAATTTACTGTAATCAATTTTTTTCATTATTTGAAATTGACTTGTAAGATAGAACAGGATAACCAATGTACTATACTAAAAAAAAGAACACTTGTTCAGACTAATTACTCATTGTGAGTTGAACTCGCTCTTTAAATTAAAATGATGTAAGTCTGAACCCTCCAGATTTCCACGAGGCAATGTTGCTTGTAGAGTATGAAACCGATTTGCAATCACCCGGAACCAGATACCGGTTTCCTACAAAATGGCTGTATACAAGAACAAATTTATAAAAATGACTTGTGTATTACACTGAAGTCTATTATTGTAAATATACTTGTAACATTTTTAAACTCAACTGTTTTCATTTGAAATCTGTCATTTATATGCAAAGGAAACAATTGGATTGACAATCCAGGTGTCTCCCTCTATTCTGCAAAGCTCTGGCGCATCAGTCAGACTAAAATTAGGACAGTCCATGTCACTGCTCAAGCTTGTACAATGGATGACTGTTGTTTGATTTAATAGTTAGCTGTAAATCAATTATAATGTTCATGCGTGGTTGGACACGTGTTGGGGGAATACTATTTGTTGCATGTTAAGCACAAGTAGGAATAAATGTCATTGCCATGCTGTAAAAAGATAATAAATTATAATAATATCAAGTTAATTTATTCTCTGGTTTCTTGTTTTTGTAAAACTGAATTTTTAATACAATTTTTCTTTGTGAAAAACATTTGTCTTGTCAATGTTAATTGTCCATTCAGGAAATTGACAAAAACTATTTTCCCAAATTATAAAATATTGTCACAAAAATAAAATTTCTTTATTAGCTCATCCTAGGAAATCAACAATAAATATAGCAAAACACCAGTATGGTATTTTTAGAAGTAGTGGAATTGGCAGTTTTGAGCAAATATTCAAATAATCGTTCACAGAAATATATTCTGATATTGTTACTAAATTTTAACACATTTCAATGTGTTCAAAATGCAATACCTAGATGCCGACACATATCAGTGTATTAAAAAATGCAAGTTTTGAAAAACAAAATATGTTGTTCACTAATATTAGAAATGAAAAACTGCATGAAATATTTTCATAAAAAGGTAATTACACATTTTGTCTGAACTAATTTGGGTAAAAACACAAACGATTTTAAAATCTGATTATTGGCTTTGGAAAACACAATATTAGTTGCTGAACTCAATTGATGACAATTATTTACGCTGTAGTTCCACTTTGTTGACAAGTTAAGGCGATTGAGCAAGTTTGAGTATCTCAGCACAATAATATTCTGTTTTATGAAACCTCGTACTATTATAACCTGTTATATCATTTTAGGTAAATTCTAAAATTCCTGTTTCTGTTATTTGTCATTGTACTACAATTGCTTCTAACATTCACATATTTGTATGTAGTTGATCTTCATAAACAACTACATTTTTTTGAAAAAGAGAATTAAAATAAGACGCACTACTAACATTTAGGTAGGGTTATCTATTTTGAACCGCATTGCTGAACCATCTCCTTTATCCCATTAACGGCTTGTCACTAGAGGGCGACATTCATTGATTAACACCCGAATGAAGACTGATCATTTATTATTATTTATTATTTTACTCCTAAAGGCGTCACTCTAAAAACTAAGGAAAAGGTCATACAGTTATGATTTGGTATTTGAACAAAGAATAAAGGAAATTGTATTGATATTGTGTTGCCCACATGATGATATAAAACCTCGCCTATTTGAGTCCTGGTTCTGTGTTGAAAGGGAATAGCTAATACACTGACTTAATAATTGCTCTTGTACACAGCCATAAATAAATAAATAAATAAATAAATAAATAAATAAATAAATAAACAAACAACTAAACAAGCAAATAAATAAATTAAGGTATGAACGTGGACAATATCAATAACACAATATTTCTGATTTTGTGGATTGTCTGAAACAAAAATCTTTATTACTTTTTACAGTATTTTGTTTGGAAATTACTAAAACTTTTAACACAGTATGCATACGCTTAGACAACTAATATTAGTTGTCTGAAGTATACGGTACAAAGTTTCTGAAAGTACGCCTAGTTAACGAGGTAAAGACGCGTGGGGGCAATGTCTTAATCTTATCGTAACTAAATGTAAACACAAACGTTATTGAATCCCTTATCAATAGTAGCGTTCACACACAGCTCCTTGGCACGGGCTAATAGTGTAAATACTAGTAAGAATTAAATCTGGCAAATGTAAACAGAAGCACGCGTAGCCAAGCCTTATTTTCGCAAAAAAATGTACATTTTTTAACAATATGATGTAAAAAATTATATTATTCAATTAAGTTTTCTACAGATGTATTTATTTATGTGTGCCATTGGGGGTATTTTTTTCAATTTATAATATGTGCATTATTCGTGCCTTTAATAAATTGTAATTTATATTTACGCCCGAAACTACTTGTATTTGAAGAACTCTTAAATTGTTGTGAAAGTGTGCCCTCTATTGTCCAAACACAACTTTCAGTTAACCTTTATTTGACCTAAAATAAACGGTATTGATGGCTGGGAAATCGTTCATTCATTCAATGACATCACTGCGTTCCTACTAACTATTGTGTTTTGAATTGTGAAGTGTGTTATTTGAGCTACGCAAAGCTAAAAAGTCGTTTTGATTTTATTCAGTGTGGATCGTCGATAACATTGTCATGTGAGTGTGATGTAATCTTGGAAATTACCATATACTACAGCAAACAGCGAGCAGTCACCCAAGCGCACAGAAACTTGCGGAAAATGGCGGAGGGGCCGCCGGTTAAGGTGGATATGGAGGGTCGCCAGTCAGTATCGCTTTTCCAGATCTTGGAATCCTTCAGCGCTCCGCTAAACGAAGAGCAGACATGGGCTGTGTGTCACCAGTCGTCACTTTATTTGCAAAAAGCTTTCAAAACTAAGAAAATTCACGGTGGTATAGGCTCCGGCTTGGATTCTCTGTTGCTCCACAAAGACGGACTGTGTTCGGTGGAGCTGTCACAATCTTCGGAAGGTAAATCTTTTTGCTCACTGTTTTCTTGACATGTCCCTTGATTTTTGTCATACTTTCGTGTTTTATGTCTCAATTTACTAGTAACGATTGACTATTATATTTGCAGTCGCCGGCAACAACAAAAATGGACAAACTGAAAGATGCGTAAGTATTATTTTTTTCAAGTTCACAAATAATATTAAACAAATGACTTTCAAAAGTGTTAAACTTCGATGTTTGGGCATTATTCGCCTTTTTTTCTTTTTGCACGTATGCATCTCTGAATACCTTACTTTATTTTAGTAGTTTTATTATTTTAAAAATTTTATTAAGAAAATTCTCTGCAATTTGCTGTTTATTTTTTAATATCCGATAGTTACTATTAACTTCTGCCTTGCTTGTACCAATTACACTTGTTTTTCATTTGCACGCAGCGTGTAAAAACAAAACATTTAATTTTACGCCTGGGACCGGTGTGAAAGCATGCATGTCAAATAAAACACGACTTCGTTGCTGTTCTCTGTTAAAAATTTACATATGAAAACATCTCTTCTTCAACGTGTGTGTGTCGTTTCACAGGTGTCAGTCAGTTTCTTTGAACAAGTATAACATTTGGTCTGTGTTAATTTATGTACCATCTTTACTAATTATATTTTTCATAATTACATTTGTCCTTGTTTTGATTTCAAACATGAGTCATGAGATAAATTCAAACAATTGGTGTTGAGTCGTGACTAATGCTACCAAGTCTGGGAAACGCCCAGTAGTGAAAATATTCTACGAAGCAATTCCTTATTTTAACATCAAAACTTTCTTGAATGTCATATTGCTATCCATATTATACCAAATATATACTTGTTGCTGCAGGCCAAAACAGTCTCAGGACATTGAACTCAAGGATAATGTTCTTTTTACTGATTCATAACTATCTATTTACAATCTCGTGAATGAAGTCGTTCCACAACAGTATCTTGTCTTTTAATGTACACTTACCAGTGAACTGTGAAGACACACAAAAAATAGGCGTGTGCCCACTTGGGTGTGGTTTCTACCTGTCTATTTTCTTTAAAAAGTTTTTTTTCTAAACCTTTGGTGAAAAAACAATAACTTGTATAATATTCTACACCGTTGAGAGAACTGTGTTGTATTATAGGAACTCCGATGTAGTAATCACTGCTGAATTCAATCGTGGCCTTAAACTAAAATCTCATTCTTGGGTTTATGATTCCATCCTCTTACAATAACTTTGGATTTACTGACGACACTTTGCATAACAATTACCGACACTGAATAGCATCAGGTGTGATTATTGAGTCTCTATTGTAAATGAGGTAAATTTAAGGAGAGTTTATGACCTTCTATCAAAAAGGATCATTGTTTGACATTCCTTGCATACTGCTTGCCTTCTATTTACTTGTACTTTCTCCATATTTCAAATTACATTAAAAAAAAAAAAAACTTTTTTTTTTGTGCAGAATGGTATCTCATCCATTGGAGGGTATTAATTTTTTAATTTTTTTTGTAATAAAAATCACATAGGCCTGTAGGTTTTATCTTACATGTCATACAAGAAAACCTTCTAAAGGTTTTAACTGTATAATTTGAACAATACTTGTTTAGGCTTTGGCTGTAATTTAATATTTATTGTATTTTTGACCTTAAACAAACTTTTTTTGAAAGTTACAAAAATGCTGTATAGTGATTGGTACTGGTACCTGTTAGTGTATTTGGCAGTTACAGTACAAACAGACCTATAACATGGTGTTTTATTGTGTACGAGTTTGGTGGGGTTGGTTGGGGTGTGGTGGATACAAAACAAACTTTGTCATCGTTCAAAACACAGTGTTAAAGAGTGAATATTTTGTGAAAAATTAAGTTGAAAAAAAATAAAATTAAAATTACTTTTCTGTGAATACTGCCAAGCATATATGAAATTAAAAAAAAGAATTCCTCCAGCCCATTTCAATTTCAGATTGTTAAACCAGTAGATACAAAACTTGCTTTCAGTGTGAACTCCTAAGGACAAGGATTTACCAACAGCACTATCAGTTGATACTTGAGATTGAGATAAGATAGTTTATTTATGCAGTGATTAGAGCAGAAAAGTAGCCCATGGTTTTGTGTGTGGTCTGTGTACTCTATGGAATTCAAGTTTGTACCATTTTCCCATGTGAAATTTGACAGGAATTGCTCATGCATATCCAGAGACTCCCACTGTGTTTTGTCTGTCTTCAATATTCATGAACGTTGGAGATTTATGTTGATGTTCACCTAGAGATCATCCATGGAGAGTTTGAGATAAAATGAATTCATCCATTCACCAATTTAGCTTCAGTGGATGTTTGAGAAGGTTTGATTGTAAAAACAGAACAATATCCAAGATGAAAATAATCATTTTTTTCACTGACATGCATATTTGCATTCATATTTCTGGAAATCTGTATTTTTAATCGTGTGATTTAGTGATGAAAACTAATCATTTTTTTCACACACTCGCATATTTATATTTCTAGAAATCATCGTTTTAATCAGGCGATTTAGTTATCATCTTGCAATTTGAAAAACTCTTCTTCAAGTCGTGTGAATCTTGTTCATTAAACCTCTTGCATTCCTTCATCTTGAAAATTCTTGATAATGCTCATAGTCGTACCTTAACATATGGGGACGTACATAATGTGAGAACAACACATGTTCAATATATTTTGCCATGCACAAGAGTCTGTCTCATAAAAACAAGTGTAACTTGGTGAAGTTATTCACTGGCTCAGGTCGTATAACACAATGCAATTCATGAACGCGATACCTTTAATATTTCCTGTATGACGCACACGATAATGATTCCTAATTACAGTTGTCCAATTATTATAAAACCATTTATTTTTACTGACATTTCACTATTTTGATGTTTTGAGCATATTCTCTGTTTCAATTTCTCGAATTTGTCAAGGAAACAATGAGTTTTATTATATTTACAATGAGTTATTTTACATGATCACGTAGATTTAATTTAGAGGATTTTACTCATCGGCGGAAGTAGCGAAATTGAAACCCAGTGAATATGGTAATTACCGGTAATGCTTTTTACAGTAATTTTTTTAATGGGGTGGAAAGGATAGAATTCTAATGTTGTTTTAATCAGCCATAAGTTATCAGATGTATAAGATTATGCTCAAATTAATCTGCCTATAGGCAGAGGTCTCAAATAATTTCTACTTAATATGAAGCAATTTAAGCTTAGGTGTGTCAGGGTTGAATAACCGTTTGAATGTAATGTTCATCTTTGTCACCCTCACAAATCGGTCTAACTTTGGAAATCTGTTTGCGATCTGATTTCCTAATATTCACAACTGAATCTATGTAAATATTCGGTACTGTCTGGCTATTTGCAAACAATTTCTGACCCGGATATCTTGTGAATCAATTGACTCTTTGTAAATATTCGGTACTGTCTGGCTATTTGCAAACAATATATGACCCGGATATCTTGTGAATCAATTGACTCTTTGTAAATATTTTGTACTATCTGGCTATTTGCAAACAATATATGACCCGGATATCTTGTGAATCAATTGACTCTTTGTAAATATTCGGTACTGTCTGGCTATTTGCAAACAATATATGACCCGGATATCTTGTGAATCAATTGAATCTATGTGAATAATTGGTAATGTCTGGCTATTTGCAAACAATATATGACCCGGATATCATATGAATCAACTGAATTTATGTGAATATTCGGTAATGTCTGGCTATTTGCAAACAATATATGACTCTGATATCTTTAGAATCAACTGAATTTATGTGAATATTCGGCAATGTCTGGTTATTTGTGAATATTTACATTAGGTATAATTGCTGCAGTTGGTATATGGCACATACTACCTTATAAGTCAAAGGCTAGAAACAAAAAATTAATTTTTTAATTAATAATGAAAAATGAAAGTTTAAGTTTCTTATTACATAATATGGTTGAAGATTGCCTTTGATTAATATTTTATTTTAATTAATTTTATTTTAAAGGCCATTTACGAACTTGGATTGGTGATATATTCTGCATTAGACTACGGTATTGTAGGAGATGATGAAAGAACTTTGAGCTCTGACTTACAAACACTCTTGGAGCGCATGACAGAAGGCAACAGTCACGATGATCAAGAAAGCGTTGACCTCTCTGTGGACGAAGGAATCGCTGATGAGCAAGACTTCAACGAAAGTGAGGAACTTGAAGATGTGATTTTTGAGAATAATAATATTAAAAATGATGGTATACAGAATGGCCAGTTATCTGATGATGGTTTATTGGTTACAAATGGTGCTGATCATTCTGAACTTCCTACTACCGGTAAAGAACAAAATTGCATCAAAGACGATGGAATCAGTTCTCTTACATCATTTACCCATGTTCTACAGGTAAGTGATATAAAGGTGTTTCTAATAATACACAATTATCTTGCGCTCAACTGACAAGTATTTGTGAGCAGTTTTATATCACATGGCAATATTGAAATCAATAAATTGTAATAGTATTCCTGAGTCTAATAAATTGCAATTTAAAGTGTCGTAATCTATGATTCAGTAAGTCTACTTTAAATATTGGTGATTTCAATGTATTTTTTGTATGTCGTCATGGAAATTAAGGTGTGAATCTCTCGGTCTCTGTTTTTCATGTGTAAATTGTGAGCATCAAGCACCACTTTACATCATGCTTGGTAACCATGTTTTTTTTTTCTACTGATGATTAAAATATTCAGACTATATTCATGAACTTTTGAGATTTCCTTGTTGCTAAACCTACCATGTGTGCAAAGAGGTGTGTGTGTGTGTTGTTTCTGAATAGAGGTGGGGGGTAAATTTATTAACTTGTAAGTTGTATGTTTGGTTTACTGCCCTGGTAATCCCATTTGCCTAGAATCAATAATTTGTAGTGCCTTTCTCCTGAGTAGTGTATTCTAGTATAAATTCTTCTAATAATAAAATTATGCAAGTATATAGAATTGATTAGCATATGAAACCTTTAAAACACTGACAATATGAACTTAGAAAAATTACATTATGAAAATTGTGTGTTTTTTTTTGCTGCTATAAATTTTTGTGTTTTGATGATTTGAGGGGGCTTTTGTGCAACAAAACATCATGCAAGTCGATGTGACACCCCAAAGACCCTGGTAAAAATCACTCTGACTCCCTAGGACCTCAGTGAAAGTTACTCTGACTCTCTAGAACCCTGGTGAAAGTCACCGACTACCTATGGCCCTGGTGAAAGTCAGTCTGACTCACTCGAACCTCGGTGAAAGTCACTCTGACTTCCTAGGTTGTATACAGTACAATATGTTTATTGATTCTTCCTGACACCAAAATAATATTTACTTCTGAATATACCGAGGGGTAGTCCTTGCAAGAATAACAACATCAGACCTGTCTGTTTTATTCATTCATTTATTGTTTGTCATAACAAACTTCATAGAAAATTTATTCAAATTACCTAATGTGACATTCAAAAACAATGCTATTGTCTATTACATAACCACTATGTTTTTCAGGAACTACTGTAAAATACTTTATTTAACTACTTTAAAAGGTAAATATACCTTTTTTTTCCTATATTTTATATTCAACTCGCCAAAAATCAATGAAAATAAAATTCACACTAAACACCCAAAAAGTAATTTCAGCAAAAATTAATTCCAGCTAAAATAAAGTATTGCACAGTATGCCTGCTTCAACAATGAGTCACTGTATACCAGAAACTGCTTATAAGAACATCTCAGTAAATGCTTGATAATTCTTGTATTCTCAGAGATTAATCAAATTCACAAATATTGCTGTGACCTATAACCCCCCCCCCCCCAATAGTCACGAAATATCACAATACTGGTAATATGTGTCTCAGTAGAAAAAAAATATAATTTGTGTTCATATTTATGCCCAAAAAGATTAATTTATTTATGGTAATAATAAAGTGTTATTGTATTGTATAGCACAATATACATGAATGTGCTGAATTCACTATAGAATGTGAGATGCAAGTCACATAATTTAGTCAATCAAATCAAACAGTTGTACACTCCATCCCCGTTCTGCTACGTTTATTGACTGATTTACAGAATTAATCTCCCCCAATGTAGTGTCTGTTGTCGTAAATTACATAACCACCAATTCTCACTCAATTTAAAGAGCCCAGTAATAATTTGTATTCAGTAAGAATGCATGTGTGAAGACATCTCAAAGTGCTCATCCCACTGACACCCACTTGATTGGTCATTAACCTTACCAGACAACCTGATGAATTACTGTATTGTTGATTTGTATTCCGCTCATTGTGATAGGTTTCTATTTTAAGCCATTTTTAATGTACTTATCACGAAAAGTATCAATCTTGATTCACATATCAACTGCGTATGAAAAAATTCTCTTCAGTTCTTCACTTCAAAGTTTGAAATTTAAAAACCACTGTGCAAAATAAACCACTTGCAAATTGCAAGTGAATTTATTTATGGCTGTAGACTTTGTAAATTGTTTTCACCGATTTGTCAAAGAATTCAATTTAAACTTTTTCTGAACAAATTATAAACTAAATTACCCCCCAGGTAAACATTTTTACTGGTACTATGTTTTTAAATGGTGTCCGATTCTACAAATAAAAACGTGCGGGTTAAATATTATGTTTATTTCCACAAAATCTTTTGAACATTTGCGGTTGTGCCGACTACCACCCTTTATTGTTATGAAGTAAACTTAACTTGGTCTGGCAATCGTAAACACAAATTTGACTTTGGTTTTCTGTTTCTCATGACCCCTAAATAGTCTCTTCTTTTCAGTGTTATTGAAAGCACCTTTATCCATTCAAAATTATTCAACATCAGCAAGAATGTATGCTCAATGTAAACTTTAAAACCCTGAAATAGCTTTTCTATTGTATTGATTGGCACTCCCATGATTTAAAAATTCCTGTTCAGTCTTAATACCTAAGTAGCCATCACCCCAATCTTGTGAGCACTTTCACGCACTTGAAAACACCCTTAAGCACTGTATATGGACAAGATCAAAAGTTCAATGTACAAAAAAAAATTAATTCCTTTAGTTTTTTCCCCAAACCCCCCACCCCCCACTGAAACTTAATTCATAAATATCGATCATGGCGTCAGGCTACATTCACCATTAAATACAAATTCGGACAGTAGTATGGCATAGCAGTTGGTTGTCGGGTGGGTGTGAAAAGACTTTACAAATGCACCAATAACAAGAAAAATAAGCTTTATTTGTACATGGAACTATAAACCCCAGGAAGAACAACCACTTCGTTTCCTTTGAACTATGATAGTTGCCGCGATGTCGAATGTTTATTTTGACTGTTTATTTTGTCGCATTAAAAAATAAGCCGATTTACGCAAATGAACGTTTATCTCCGACTATCGGTCATTTTCGGAGTCAATCGGACGACTCCGGAAGATCACGTGACCGAGTTGGCGATCGAAGGGAAACACGGAATTAGTCGGGATATCTCAACAACAAACAGCTCACCAAACCCCATGTTTCGCAAACTTTCGCAACCTTATTTTTTCGAGGGTTGAAAAAAACAAGAAGTAATCTAAAAACGACATTAAAAATTATGAAAACTCGCTAAAACCCTGACCCGTTGCATGATTTCCGGTACACTGAAGGTCACCCTGCAGACCGACTTGTTTGCGCATGCGTAGTGAACGAAATATTTTACTGCGCAGATATGAACATTTTTTTTCAAGTTTTCCGTTTCCAGCAAAGCGGTTGAAACGGGCGTATCGGCGGCAACTAACATGGAGTATGACTAATGTCGTGGAAACAAAAGCGAAAGCACTGTAAGATAAACTAAGACAAAGGTTTTTTTTAATCCTCTTAGTTTCGTTGTTCTTCCTGGGGTTTATAGTTCCATGTTTGTACCATTTAATTTACAAAGGTAGATACAGTAGTACAATAAAATTGTCATTACACCAAACCATTTTCTCGTCTTGGATGTTTTTTTTTTTATTTTCTGTTATGTTTGTCCATGATTTGATAGAAAAAAAAACAACTACAAATCTTCCAAGATGTTTTTGACTTCATTAAAAAATAAAATCGTTTTTGTAGGATGGAAACTTTTTGTGGTCAAAAACCCCCCACCCCCAAACTAAAGCAAATAAGTTTTTTATCCGACATCGATCTTTTGACGTCGTCCCTAAGTGTAGTAATATGAGCAACTACAATATCATCACTGTTATAATATGCTTTATTAAGCTCCATACTGAGACTGGATGCTACTGTACTGTGACTAACATAGTAGAGTTTCTACACAATGACTGAATTCTTACAACTCGTTATTAAAACATTACTGGACAAATGACAAAAAGGAATTGTTGTGCTTGCTTTTTAGCTTGACAATAGGTTTAAATCTGAAAAGAGCTTGTATACATGTACCAGTCTACAAATGTCAAACAATAATCATCCCTTGTATTTGTCTGACAAGTTCATGTCCAAGTTAATATGGTACTTTAATTGCCTGAAGGGATTGTCATATTACATGTACCTCAAACAGAGACTTGAAAGACAGATTTAAATTAGATCTGTCTTTTCCTTTGTGTCTTTTAACTTTTAGCATGGACTTTAACAAGCGCAAATGTGCCATGCGGAATAGGTCTTTATTATGCATGACCTTTAAATGTCGTACATCCTGGTACTTTCTGGGGGTATAAATCACTGTTAATGAGATTTTATCAATTATAGTTCTGATTAAAGTTCACAAAATGAGATATAATGCTCTTTTATCACATGATCATTGTGAATATCATTCACAATAATGGTGTTTTGTGTGAAAAGTCAACTGATTACTGTAATATGAGAATTTCAATCAGACTGGATAAAAAGAATTACTCGACAATAAATCATAAGAATGAAAGTTTATATTAAAAAAAGTATTGCTATAAATGGTAAAATTTTCTGCTGAATTTGAAATCCATTGTCGGCGGTAACTGCAAATATGTGTTTATTGAAGAGCTTAGTCTTCACAATTAATTAAATTAGCATACGATTCGTAGACACAGTTTTGTAAAATCGCAATTTCTCTATCGATTTTTTTACACTTGGAGCTGATCATGTGCCTGGTATCAGTTAATAATTCATAGAATTGGTTGATACTCTAAGAATCATTTCATCAAAAATATTAGCCCATGACATCTTAACGATCAAATATTATCAGAGTTAACCTTATAGGACAATATCCTCAGAAAGTACACGGATCTGCAACTATTCGGGGTCATGGATTTTTGTAACATCCATAGACCTGATGGAGTTTGCAAATTCCCTTGATGCTAACCTACCATGTGTGCAAAGGAGTGAATGTGTTTTTTCCGAATCAACGTGGTTGTAAGATCAAACCCCACCCCTTTCTGAGTGCTCAG